GTCAAATCTGGAATCGAATTAAAATTCCGAGTATACAATTACAATACAACAGCTAATCCTTCATTTATAACTTCCAGAGCGCCCTTCGACTAAGAATACGAGTATCATACAACGTGGACGGCGTCCCAGTGTTAGAGCAGGCAGAAGTGAACAGCTTCCCCCCGGACCTGTTCAACTGACGAGTGGCCAGCCCGCCCGGCTACTGTCTCTAGCCTGCGCCAGTCTGCGCCGGACACGCTCTTATATACTCGTACTCGGTAGTTACATCATGGTCATCGATTGTTTGTCTGTCTATAAGTAAACTGCAGCTGTAGCCAAATGCCATTTAGCGCTTGTCTACATGTAGAATAGAAAACCGAATTATATGGAATTGACGTAAATTTTGACACTTGTCAGTGTCATCCCCATACATTTAGTTTTGTACTCTCTTTGTAGACAAGCGCTAAAGTGGCGTTTGGCTAAAGACACTCAAATTCTAGGACAAGACAGGCTGCATTTCTACTGCAATCTGTCTAAAATTTTGCAATAATAATTCCAATTGTAGCAACTGTATGCTAACTTCAATTTGGCTGAATGGTTGGTATGTAGTTGCATCAACTGCATTGTCAGTAAATTAATAGATGGAGTGCAGTAGGAATATCTGTCTGTCTATCTAGAGCCCTGCGCTAATACTGATTCAGATAATACATAGTAACTTGAAGTTTATTATACTAATCCTAAGTGTTTCTTTATTATTTTACTTTTCTTGTATTGTACTTTAGTTACTGAGTATTATATTGAGTCGATGTAGAAGCGCAGTTACCTTCAGTTGTTTAATTTATAACAGATTTTATGCTAGCGTCGAGTAAACTCGAATGCTTGCAATGAATAATGTGCAGGGCCTATAAAAATTTCTACAATCTTCAACTACTTAATTCGACTTGATTAATATAAATCTTCTTTAAAATTCTGAGATTAATCTAGCTTTACAAACTGCATTGTGATCTGGATAGCAGATAAGATCTCATTATAAAAATATTTATTTATTATTTATACACTATTTAAATTGCACTAATCGTGTATATTCATAGTTAATTATTGCTCATTTTGATTCACTAACGAAAGCAATATTTATATTAGAAATTATGTTGAAACAATCGATGACCGTTATTCAACTAAGTTTTTAACTGATGGCGTATCTTTGACTCGACGAAGACTGAGCACAGGCCACCTGTATCAGCCGCTACACCGTGGTGTCGAGATCTGCCGCTCCTTTTATAGCTCACCTGCATTGAGATTTGTGAAACATTCCACGTGTTAGGTAGTGTTTAAAGTTAATGCCGCGAGGACCCATTACATATTGATTGTTGATTTATTGTTGGGTGACCAGAGAACGCAACTCCTTAAAAACCCTGAGGTCAAGTTTGATTTTTATTCTCTCTGGCCACATTGTCAGTATTATTACAATCTCAAAGCAACTGATATCAGTGGTTTACTACTTACTATTTCACAACTATGTACGAGGAAGGAAACAATGAAGTTGCTTCTAAAATATCTAAATCGCTATACAAGTAAGGAACGTCGTTACTATTAATTTATAAGTCGTACTATGTTGAGGTATCGAACCGTTGTGAACATTCCCGAATTTAAACATTTTGCCCTTGATCGATAAATTGTAAATTGATGTACTAGTGGACCTTTCGTGTCGTTACTGCTGTACATAAATTGAGATTGTGTGTATAAACGATTATAGTGAGCAACCTGTGAATTGGAGGGCTGTATGGATTGTACTTAATAAAATATAAATGAATCACTATAAGATAAATTACGTGTGATAATCCACTTTAGTACGCAAGCCAAAGTAATGGTCTTGCGGGGAAGTAGTCAATGTTTTAAAATACACTGGCGAGCCAAAATATCTAGTCACTACAAGCCATGGTGTATGAAGTTTAGAAAAGATTCCTGTATGTATAAATTGTTTTAGAACTCGATTATTTATAAATAAGCGCGTGCCTTGATTTTTCGCTCGTCACTGTATTTTGAACCATAATTTTAATTTCAGATAGTCTGTGTTTGATGTCACTAGTTCGGACGTAGACCAGCATTTTGTTAAGAATACTGCAGCATAGTTACTGCATGCAACCCGTGAGCCGCTTCACATGCTAAACAGTCTGTTGATAGTACTGTTCCTTGTTAAGAGAGTTTTATACTTTGCGACGATGTAAATATGATTGATACATCTCATCAAACACGTAGTTACGCAATTATGGATTATTATAAGATTTTTACACGCGTCTCGGCAGTCGCCGGACATTTTAACATTTAGACATTAGTTATTATGTTTATTTTCATCCTATTTATGTTTAGGTTATCGACTAACCAGCATATTCTAATGAAATATCGTAGGAGTATGTAAATCTAGATATAATTTGAAAGTCACTGGAAATATAGAAGACGCACGTGCTCTTAATAGTTCTTATATTCTCTTGTGTTCTCGTGACTATCGTGAACGCATATATTTTATTTTTGATTATGTAAAGAGAGCTTGGCAAAAGAATATATCGTCAATTTGGTGCTTCGTTTTACTATATCTGATAAATAGAAGGCCCTCCACAATGTGAGATGTTTATGATTTTGTGTATAACTAAAGCTATGTGAAAGATGTACATAATGATTATAATGATTTTATGTAAATTGGTTAATAAATATTTGAGAATGTTTATATAATCAAATTGGTTGCTTTTATTTCGTAAACACCCTTCATACATAGATCACTGACACATTTATTAAGTTAGAAAATTGTTATATATTTATTTTATTACTCAATCATGGGTGTGGCAGGTGCAGGTCGTCCGCTGACACTGTTGAACAGTCTGTCTTTGATCATCTGCGCCATGAGACCGTGGATCACCTCGATGGTAGTCTTACAAGCATCCTTGGTCGCCTTGCCGAGTTTATCTTCAGTTCGCTTTTCATGGGGATCAGCGCCGGCGACGATGAATCCACCGCGGCCTGCAGGAATATTATATCTTGTAAAAACTTCACCTACTTTATACAGTATCTAAGTTCCAGGTGTTGAAAAGATTACTTACCAAGACAAACTTCACTCTGCTCCAGCTTGTCTGACAAGTCAAATATCTGTCCAGTAGTATAGTCTGCGTTAGTGATCAAACTGGAACTGCTGAGTGTGTTCACCCAGTACTTGTTCCAGAGAGAGTCCAGTAGTCTCCGGTCAAGCGAGGATTTGAAGTAGGACACTTCTAGTGAATAGTACTGCTTGCAATGCACTCCAAAGTCCTCGATCTTGTTGAGAGGGATTGTCTGGTACTCCGAGGGCTCTTCATTTGCTGGTTTGTAGCCCTATAACATTAAATATTGTGTTAAATTCTATGCTAGAAAAGTCAATACTAACTACTCCAAAAATATTAAATTACCTTGGGATAGGTTCTGAAAGCTCCAAGGCAGACTTTGCCAGCGGAGATAGTTCTGACGGGATCAATGACGATGGCTACAAATGGTTCCTGGAAGTTCTGGTTTAGCATCTGTGTGGAGACATCAATGCCGGACAACCAGCAGCCATAGCCAGGGTGGCTGTGGTACCAACCAATGGCATTTTCGTGACGACCAACCTGAAAATTACAAAATTAAGATTTTCATTTCTAACCTTTTTGAAGTTACTGTAGCCAATCATGTATTCGATAAAAAAACCCAATACATTTTAATGATGTTTATTTCAACATCCCCCATTGCATAATACTTTCCTTATTTTAACAATTGTAAAAAAGTAGATGAAAAGTTATTAACTTTCATATTCATTATGAGATCGCGTAAAACACTTATTTTGAGTTATTTTAATAAGAAAAATAAAAGCAGATTTTAGTGACATTACCTGTTTAGCAGCCTCTATGTACGCAGTCATGTACTCATAAGCCTGTGCCTGAGCATTCACTCTGGTCTCCGTGCCCTCCACAGGTAAAGCAAAGGAATCCATCACTATCATTGTATTTGCATCTACCTTACCTAAAAATATAAAAAATATTTAGTAAGATATAAATTTCTTTTCATTTCATTTTGATCTGAGAATGACTTGAGATTTTCTCTTGCAAGTTGCGACTGCCTAAACTATGTGCAACTTGTCTAATAAGAATAAATTGTGTGTGTCCACTAACGGTATACTGAATATGAATTGATTTGTTTTGTGTAACTCATGATTGCAACATTTGTCGGTGACCAACAACATCATCATAGAGCTAATTAGATTGTTCTAATCATCATATAATACATTGTATAAAAGTATCATACCTAAAAGTAATCCCATAACTTCCAATGTACCACCAGACCGAGCGTGCATCACCATCTTGAGAAGAGCTAACGCAGAGATCTTGATATCTTTAAAGAAATGAGGACTGAAACAAGAAATTGCAATCAACAACAGGTCTAATAGACATTATCATACTAAATCATCATCACAGCCACAAGAACAAGACATCCACTACTGAACAATGGACTCGAGATCGAGCAATTGGAAGCGACCTGCATCTTGAGAGTATTTACAATTAGATATTGTATTTCCACTTACTCTTTCTCCCAAGGTTTCGCTGCAAGTATGTCCTGTTGTTGTTTTTTATCGTAACGATAGATTTCGTCCACACTAGACACAGTTTCGATGTTATTCGACATAACCCATGTTTTCTGTGCGATAGACGACTGTGAATCGGCACTTGTAGATGCCATATTGATGTTTAACTGCGATTAGTCTAGTTTAAATTATTAAAATGTTATCACTGTTATAATTCAACGATCATGAATTTAGAAAAACAAAAATCACAAGCACAATGGCAGACGAATTTGCAACTTTGTGTTTGACAGAATTATGACAATTCTTCGTTGTGACATTGACAACTGACAGTATAGTTGAAACATAGATTTAGTATTATATAGATGCGCCGTAATGATCTATAGCTTATTTGCTTATTCAAATATATATCACATCGATATAGAAATATGAAACCATACTTTGTCCCTTTTTAATCAATGAGTAACCTCATTTGAAGAAAGAGACGTCATGTTGTTTGTTTATTCTCTGCCTGGCAACATTTCTACATTTCTGACAAGGTACCTACCTCGCGTGCCAGCCGCCATCTTTAGGCCGTATAGTTTTGTAGTACGTCAGGTGTCAAGCGAACAACAACATTGGATTTGGATTGCGATTTTTATCAATAAAAACGCTCCTAATTAAATTGTTTTGTGCTGTAAGTGTCTGGTGGTGCATATTCAATATGTGTACTAGTTCAATAATTCAGTGTGGGGCAAGGAAAAGCCCCAATCAACCTCATTTGACTACGCACAGGTTAGTAGCCGTATTTTAAGAAAAACTTTATCATACTATTAGTTTTCTTGTTTATCTAGCCTTGTTTTATATATAGAATAAAAACCCCCAAATGTACATTCCATTTGGTTCTAATAACTAACTTCATTTGCTAAATTTGTTTTATGTTTTGTTTACAATACAAATGACGATTTACAATAGTGATGTATTTTATTTAATAACATATCGATAAGAAACTAACATATTTTTAGTTTGTAAAGGGTCTGAAGAGACGATTTTGAAAATAAATCTTACAGAATAGAAATAAAAATAGGGATAGTACCAAAACAATAATATTAATTCTCCATACAGTAGGTGCTGTCATTTTATAATTTGTTCCACTAAATGCACAAAACTGAAATAATTTTTATGTTTTTTTTTTATTTCAACAGATTCCCTAGAAATGAAGTGCTGCGTCAGAAGTGGCTTGAAGTCATTGGGACGAAAAATATCAAACCTGGACTTAAAGCGTCACGTATTTGTTCATTACACTTTGCAGTATTATTCTTCAATAAACAATTACAACACATACTGGTATTTTTTTAAACCATTTATTTTTACGAGCACACAAGCGCTTAAGTTCCTGTATCGGATTCAGGCGGAAGAAACACCCCGGTGCCACCATTTTGTGGACTATGCACCGCCCGGAGACCGGTAGAGAGAGATAAGAGATAATAAACGGGGACATTTGGGTATGGTTTTAGCCAGTAATAGTCTGACGTGCCCCCCGCTCTACCCAGAGCGCTAGAAGTCATTCGATGATTTGTACCTTAAAAAAACATCCAAAGTACCAGAAGATTTTTAATGTATAAAACTTGGCTATCGATATCGATACTTTTTGGTTTTGACTACAGTCTTCCCTAGCAATGGCAGCCATATTTAGGCCGCGGTTTCTAGTAGGTATGCACGCGTATTTTGTAGGTATTTCTGGTCCATATTATAGTAGGTCTGTGAGTTGAAAGAGAAAGAAAGGAAAAAAAATAATTTATTCGTCATTGGGCATGATTGATTGAGTATAGTATCATTGTAGACTCGGTGTCCAATGGTGTCCAAAAAAAGAAAAAAAAAGAATATTAATGACCCTTTTGACGACTCATAGCCCGCGAATTTCAAATTTTCTTATTATAATTTTACGTGTTTTGCAATAAACAGCTCGCTATCAGATAATTTACGAAAATTAAATATTTTCGGTAAAGATTTTTGGTTTTGGTAAAACCAACTACAAGTTTTTTTATTTATTGATGTTTTTGTAGTTCGATTGGGATTTTCCACCAAAACTGAAAATGTTGAATATCTCAGAAACTTACCCTATTTCGGACCAGAGACCTTAGGGCTAATTTTGTAGGAAATTAATTGTATTATCACCTCCCGAGAGGAATACGTCAAGTTCAAGTCACCCTGTGTATAATAAATAATTATTTAGAACGTTTAACGATTTTTACAAGAACTTTACAACATATACAAGAACTATACAAACATATCTCCGCAGGTCTACAACGCACGCTGCTATAAACTGCTGTTGACTCAACTTATAATGATTAACTGAAGAAACTTATCATGAATTCACCGTGATGAGTTTCTTGATAATGTCAGTAGCAGTAAGTAATTCGGATGTAACTATAATATAACTATGAGTAAGAAACGACATTATATTATGATTGGTGAGATCTGACATGTCTTGGGTTTGATTCTCGAGTCGAACAAAACATTATCAGTCTATAAGACTCCTAGTGAAAAGTGTGCTAGTGCTTCACATTTGAAGATAATATCGAACTTTTAAATAACTTTGTAAATACATAAAGGCTAAATAAAACATAATAAGTAATTTAATATCAAAACACCGGTATCATTGAATATTACATCAGAAACAGTTTCCTGCATTTCTAAAGCCTTGCATCAGCCGCTCGTTTACTAAGGTTCAAAGTCAATAAAATTTCATCAGACAAACATGATTAGTAAATAGGTAAAACCTTGTGTGTGTGTGACTCATCTCTTACTCAGACGAAAGGTACGAGACGAGGCGTTGAGGCGAGACAAGAACGTAATTTTAACAAAATTTGTTTATCGGCCTATGCCAACAATAAAATTAACTTAATTTTCATACACCGATAGGTATTAGATACCTTGTATTTTTTTGTTTTCAAGTGTTTTGTTTTTCTCTCACACATACGAAATACTATAGTCTATCTCTTTCTAATCTGTATTCCATGTTCATGACTTCATATCTTTTATCTCTGTCTGACTTATGTCATAGTATATTCTATCCTTGTCTTTAATTTTATTGACGTCATTTTGCTGCCACCCCCTTGATAACGATTAACCAATCACAAAGCACCACATACACATTTTCGAGAATCTAGAAAAATATTTATTACTCGCTGAGAAGCCGAACATGTACGACGCAATCGTTAATAGCTCGCCCGCGAGGAAATATCATAGAAAAGTGCTCTAACAAATGCTTGATACGGACAATCCGAGAGTTTGATAGTATGCTTTCGTTAAGACACTAATTTATCATCATCAGCTACCAGTGTTGTGGGGTGTTTGTTTATAACTTGTGATAAAACAAATCAACAAGATGAGCGGTCCCATAATCATCACGGTGCCCAACAACTACCTGGCCATGGAGGCGGTCGAGGAGTTGGAGTCGAAGGTGCTGGTGGATCTACCATCTCCGGCTCCCTCCAGGAAGCGTCGACTGGACCACCTCACATGGGAGGAGAAGATGCAAAGAAAGTGAGTCATAATTTTGTTGTAACATTGCCTGCGTGTCGGACAAATCCTTCACTCTGAGAGGTCAAGTTATAGTGGTGAAGTGGGCGTGAATGGCGTTTCGGTGTTTCTAATAGGATTACTCGATCCTTCTTTGTTGTTATTTGTTTATAATAATCGTCTGCTAATACGAATACTGCTATGAAAAGCAGGCAGTTTTATTAGGAGGACTAATTTCACCATTACTTAGATTAGTCTAGACTCAGAAATACTGGGTGCAAAGTATTCTCTCTGCGTTTGTTGACCCCGTGATCCGTTATGTACAGTTACGTTCAGCAATAGTTAGCACCTCGAATACACATAGTTAGCGCCAGCAAATTGTTATAACGTATTGTTAATTTGTCACCAGGAAGTTGAAGAACCGTGTAGCGGCACAAACTTCACGCGACAGGAAGAAGGCAAAAATGGATGAGATGGAGAGTCGGATAAAGTACTTCATGGACATGAACGAGCGGTTGACCAGTGAAGTCGAGAGCTTGAAGGCGCTGAACGAGCGTCTGTTGAGCGAGAACGCAACGCTACGCAGCGAAGCGGCGGCGGCGCGGAGCGTCGCGGGTGCCCCCAGACCAGCAGAGTCTATTCCTCAGCAGAAGGAAGGGCACCCGACGGCACTCCGGGCGGCGCGCCTGCTGCTGGTGATGTGTCTCCTCTCGCAGACCTCCTCGCACACTTCGACTCAGATGAATACCTTGATACCCTCACTCAACTTGCAGACTCCCTCTTCAAAGAAATTGATGCAAATGCTGCAGGAACGCCTCAAAATGTAAGTTCATGACAACTTAATAATATAAGTACTACACTCCAATACTCCGTTGGAGTGTTGTAACTATCTGTACTATTATAGAGTTAGGGAATTTCCTGTTTGTTGAAACTAAACATTTCATTTCCTTTAGGTCAGTAGAATATGACTATGAATCATGTTACAATATAACAATCTTGTTGGAAACTTAATACTTTCACCATAATGAACCATATCATAGTAAACTGATGTGCATGATAAGATAAAATTGCTAGCTCTGTTTGGTTCAAAAAGGGTCATTAACCCACATCTTTATCTGAATGGGCTGACACAGATGATGCAATGTTGAATGAATATTACATCAGAAAATGATATGGTACTAAAGTGTTAAACTGCTTGTTCCAATCTTGTTTATTATGCAAATTGTAAATGCTTACATGCATTTTATTGTTTGTTAATGTCACAATATATTTTGTAGCAACAAGCTGAATTGCAACTTACTGCATTGCATCATCTTTCATTCCAGTTTAACAATACAATTTATAATTTGGAGTTCAAAGTAACTTATTTGGTTTTTCTATTGTTACAGAACACAGTCAGGAAAGCTGGAGAGTGCATTGAAGGAACTAAAGTGGTGGGGTCCGCAGCAGAGCACCTGGAATCCAGTGGAGGTGCAGTCGTAGACATCAAGCATGATGTCGACAGGATACTGTCCCAGCATTCATATGCGCATCCTTACAAACCAGAAGCCACAGACACACAAGTACAAATCAAAGAGGAGAACAATGACAAAGGGGACATGTTCTATGCCAGCTGTGATGAGGCCAATGACTGCATCACCATCGAAGTGCCATGTGAAGAACACATTGTGGAAGAAACTCCATTACAGATTAAGACGGACTTCCCTCCCCTGACTGACTGCTCAGGAATGAAGTTAGAGTGTGACATGAAAATGCTCTCTCCAATGACAATGTCGCCTAAATCTGTAGAGGAGAACCTTGGCCTATCGCCTTCACACACAATCTTAAGCTCTGACCTGGGATACGAGTCATTAGCTTCACCGCTCAGTGAACCAGAATCTATGGACTTGTCGGACTTTTGGTGTGAATCATTTTCAGAATTATTCCCCGGTCTAGCATAGAATGTTTCTGCATTTTGACTCCCACCAAAGACTGACTAGTTTTAGTTCTAATTTATAATGTACCTTGCTTTGTTAAGTTTATAAAATGACAATTTAATTAGTGTTTGTGTAGATACCTATTTATGTTAAGTAAATGTTTTATATATTATTTAAATTAACAAATTGTAATTTAGTGTTTAGTTAGGATGCACATATGTTTGTAAATAAACAGTTCGTGTCTCGTCAAATTTTGTTGTTTTCTTTACGTACAGTACAAAAAGACACCTTTAATATATTACCAGTAAATAAGGGTCGCAGTAATTTTACCAAATAAGCATAATTATCATTTCTGTCCTTCATTAAAAGGCATTAAGAATGAGTAAATATGAGATATTCCTCAAATAACTCACAGATAGTATTTATAGTAATAAAATAAGTAAAATTATGTCCTGATTAATAAGTAGTATGAACAGTTTCACAATGATACCTATCTTGGCCATCAGACAAATGTGACTTATTATCTCACAATGCGTCATCGCCATTTCTGGGTCACCGAGTAAGCTTCAAGTGAACAGGTGTGTAGGTAATATTTATTTATTTATGTTCTGATTATTGTAATATTTTAACTGATTTAAGATGTGGATATCATCATCATCGTCAATTAATCAATCAGAATGTCAGACAGTAGAAAATATGTAAGTATCTGATTGTATCTGCTTATCCGCCTTTTGTACCTTGTCTGACTGCATTTTTTCATAACAATGAAGAAGACTACCTATATCAAAACATCAATTCCTGTTATAAGTAAGAAATGGTAGATAATAAAACATATCAACTTGGAATTTCCAACGCACAGACCATTCTTGTTATTAGGAAAATACAAGTAAGATAAAACATACGAAATGGTATTATTCAATCATCAACACATTCAGCTGATAATATGTTCGTGCTTGATAAGAACGTAATTAACTATAGTATAGCGATATTTTTGTTGTATCTATAGATAGTGTGTGGCTATGTATTTTAATGATGTATGGAAAAAATATCACTTCTTAATCCTTAAAAGGCCGGTAACGCACTTTTAACGTCTCTGGTGTCCCGGGTGTGCATGGGCGACGCCGATTGCTTACCATCAGGTGATCCGTCTGCTCGTTTACCGGCTTAAACTATAAAAAAGTATGGTCATTTAAAAAGCTAAGTAAGGGTTGGACTAGAACCCAAATTACAATAGGTAGGTAAGTATGACTTGCACCCCTCTATCAAGAGAGAAAAGAAAATCAATAATATGTGGATACTTAGACACAATCTTTTTCATTTTGTCAAAAATCAAAATGTCTCAAAAACTAGAGCTCCTACTGGGAGCGAAAATTTCGAAAATTCGTTTGGGAGCCTCCTAGAAACCCCTAGTCCACACCCCCGTAAAGACATGATGGATAGGTTTTGGGTGACCTTAGGCTGGGAGTGGGACGGACCCATTCAAAAATCCTGAACATAACTTGACGAATAATATACGTTGTGTGACGGCTTCCTGAGCAGACGATTGCAGTGAAATGCAGTGACCTTTGCTGAAGCGGGCCCATTTATAAAACCACTATGAAAGTGATGATGATGAACTAAATACCACATTTTAAAACCTTAGTCATGTGTTTATTACACAGGTAAATACGTTTTAGCAAATGATTAATTAAATAATGTACCTAGGTACTTACTTATTTTCCCGATAAGCCTTATCGTTAATTACCTAATGGTGTTTGAAACGTAAATTACGCGAAATTTCCATATCATTTGTACTATGTTTTGTAAATATATTGCTAATACACCTTACCTACATTAGGAACCTATGTTGGCAGGTCGATAACAAGACTGTTAACCAAAACGGCTGTTTAAATACTTAGGTACTTTCCTTCTTTGTAATCTTGAACATAAAGAAATGGTTAAAATGTTGATAAGTGGTGCTGAATTGCATATAACATAACATCCCGCGGTGGTTATTCCCGAAGGCTTATTTTGCTTACCAGAGGTGTACATTACGGCACTTAATACCAATTGCCACTGTACAATATAACACCACTTTTTTTACTATGTTATGAGTCCCATGTAATAGGGGTTGCCATGTACAGGGTACAATTCCAGACACCGTGCTACTACCGAGATTTTTTTTTAAAAACCTAGTATTTTTCCCGACCCGGCAATCGAACCCGTGACCTTCGTTGCTGGGCCGTCGCACTTGCGACCACTCGGCCAACAAAGCAGTCAATTAAATTACTTACCACGTCTAGTATATTCTAGTGGTCAGGTCAGAAATCGTATGTGCACCTTTCCTTCCCTTAGGGGATTAGATAGCATGGAATAAACTTCCAAATTTCATGCCGACGCCTTCAGCCGATTTGACGTGAAGTAGGTAGTATCAAACCAACAAACATACCAACTTTCACATTTATAATATTAGTAGGATAATGTCACTCTTCAGAATTATTATAAAAATGTAGAAACGAAGTTTATATCTTCTTTCATATGGTAGGAGGAGGAGGTCCTAGGAGTTAAAACTGCTAAAGAAAATAATTTTTTATAAAGAACTTCGTCGTATGTTACCAAGGACGTCTCGAAAATCAATATAGACATTAATAATGCACGCACACCTGTGCTAGTTCAGATGGCGATATAGAGGACACTGGACAACTGAATCATAAATGAGATATCGATTTTACAATTATACACAAAAAAGTATAATATTAAGAAACGAATCCAATAGTAGGTAATATAATACATAATTTAATACTTTAATTCTAATGTAGACAATCTAGTTTCCTTATGGCATTGAGCATTTCTTTCTTTATTGAAACAAAGAGTTTCCTTTTTCTTGTATAGAAGCACTATTTCTATGGATTGTCAGTATGCATATGTGAGCACCATGATTTTTATTTTGTTTATTTTAGTAAGTTATTAGTATAATGTGTCAAGCGTGTCTTTGCATTGTTCTTACATATGCGTACAGTACCTACCTATTGAAATATGTATCAGAGACATTGTAGAACATACTTTTTTAAAAGAGTAACAACGATTGGAGTTTCTTGCTCGTTCTTCTCCATTCGAATCTTTTTGGAATGAGCACCTAGCTTCACCTAATTTCACTGACGGACTGACTGACAGACTATTATTTATTTTGTATTTGTTGACATTTCAAAAGTACCAAACTATGGTTTAATTGAAATAAATGCTTTGACTTTGACTTTGAATAAGTCGGTTACTAGGTATGGAAACTGGCTGCCGCGCAACGTGTCGCGGGTTCGATTGCCGCACGGAACTCTGTGTGATCCAGAAATTGTTGCTTCAGGTCTGGGTGCTATGGGTACTATGTGAACTTGTATGTTAGTAATCGCACCCACGACACAGGAGAGAATTTTAGTGTAGGGCAACGTTTATAAGAAATAAATATTGTTGTAAGTAGATAATAAAATATCCAACAATTGCAGAGGAGTAGGAATAAATTAAAATTTTAAAAATTGATTTGAGTCTGAAGGATAGGTGCAGCGGTCTCTTTTATGACCGGATGCATGATGTGACAATTTTTTGTCAAAAATTATTGCATGGGACAAATTAACTAAAATCTCGGGTTACTCACGTGAATATACTAAACTACTCACGTGAAAAGCTCTACTAGTTTCGAACCACAGAGGGGTTCTTCCTAATGAGCAGCGTGCGCGGTCGCGGCGATGTCGCGCAGCTCAGTGTAAACTAGTAGAGCTTTTCTCAGTATATTCACGTGAGTAACCCTCGATCTTAGTTACTTTAGTATGTCTTACGATAGTTATTATAAAAACATGGGACAAAGACTACCCATGATTCGTTATGTAAAGTGATAAATAAAACGACAACATTAAAAAAAAAACATTAAATATATTTGTTAAAATATTACAGATTCAATAAAATCGTGTCTCATAGATTACATACTCGTTCGTACAGACCTACTATTACTAACTACCATCATTTTTACGAGTTCATGCCGTTTGGCAACCCGCTACCATTGTTATCAAGCAGAATGAAGCGATAAACTAAACGCCAGCTCTCGTGAACGGATATGTTGAGTTTAAAGTCTCGTATTAACTTGGTAGAACAATTGACGCGCAACACGTAGCACTCAGTGTGTTCTGTAACGTTGCACGAGATCGTTCTGTGGACAGATATGAGTGTTGTGTGTGTTGCATATGCTGCAACATGTCGTACGTCAGATGTTGCTAAGTCGATACGAAGCTTGATAAACAAAACTATAAATTATGGTTCTCTAATGTTTTTTCCTTTAAGTATAAGGAAAATTTTGAAATAGAATTTGTTTCGCAACATATTTATCCTGTTCACATGTGATAAAATATTTAAATTTTCCGTATATTGCTCGTCAATTTATTCTGATTTATTTTGCAGGTGACGTAAGATCGCCGTATTTGGTTTGACAAAATAATTACTGGAACAATTAATAATCCAAAGCACGGTTTAATGGCTATTATTAAAGGTCTTAAAATAGCCTGTTTTTAATATCCCATAAGTAAAATTTAATCATAACTCTAATTGAAATGATATATTCATTTTACCCAGTGG